TTTGTCACATTAATGAATTCTGCATAAGGTTAACACTAATAAGTTTATAGAGTACTCATCCGATTCTTAATATAGGACTTAATTAGAGAGTTGATGTTGGTCCTAAATGTAAGACTTATTTTATATAATTAGCAACTTTTTTTTTCCCAAATTAACTATATTTAAGGGTCTCTCAATACTAATCAAGTAGGAGAGAGAGGAAGAAAATAAAAAAGATGCTTAGGGTGTTTTAGAAAAAAAATCATATTAACTAATTTAACTAACATCCTTAATCTATTCAAATTAGTTAAGTGGGTATTATATTAAGGACTGGAGAAGTATCTGGCACAATTGGCGTTACAAAATAATAGATTTAGCCTTTAAGTCAATTTATTCCATCTTAGAGTCCATTTGGGTGCAAATAATGTATAAAACTTAGTTAAATCATTATAAAATTATATATTATGTTTTTTTTTTTAGAAAATGATTTGTTTATAAGATAAAATAAAGCATAATGAAGTGAAACTCAGCAACCTAGAGATTTAAGGGTTGAAATAGTTAGGTTAAGGAACCAACTGATGCTGACCCATGAGGATAAATCAAAAGCAAAAGGATTATCATGAATCATGAGCATGTTTTTGAATAGTTATACGTTGAATAATTATGATGAAAGCAACATAATACCAAAAACAGGAGTTTCACCTCCAGATCATTATAAGAGACATGAATAATGATTTAATCCACTCATTGTTATACGTTATTTTTAATTGGTTTAATTTGATCTTGTGAATTTACTTTTTCAATTTTATATTTTAATGTGATTTCATTATAAGCATAATATTAATGATTCATCCTTCCATAATGCCATTTGTTATTAGATTTAAATAGACCAAAAAAATAAATAAATAAGTTAAAGTTCAAGAATTCACCTTTAACCAAACCAAAACTAAAAAATTAAATTGTACCATGTCAAAATGAAATAACTAAGTCAACATTATAGAAATCAAAACATTATTTTTTCCTAAAATTAATCACGAACACTTAAGAATTACTTTAATATTATATATAAAGCATTTTCAATATATTTGACTGAAATTGAACCAAGCAAACTCATAAATTTCATTAACTTAAAATTTAGTAACTTCTTAACTTTGTACTTAAACTTATATACTACTCCTCCGATCCTTAATATAAGACCCATTTAACTAACTTGATTAGATTAAGAAAGTTAGGTAAGTTAGTTAATTATAAGAAAAGTGACATATTTTTCCTAAAACACTATAATCATCTTTTTTAATACCCCATCTCCCTCTTCTATTTAATTATGGTTGAGGGAGTATCTATAGGGGTAATTTAGAAAAAATTGATAAATATGAGAAATAAGTCTTATATTTAGGATCAAAACCAACTAAAGAATTAGGTCATATATTAAGAGAGTATATTTTAATGGTTTGTTTACATAAATAATAAATAATTATATGTTCATATAAAAAATTTAATAACATGCGATGAGAAAAACAAACTCTCCCTCCACCCTATATTAGAAGAGTACTTAAAAATAATTACGCTTTGGGCTTAAAAGAAAACACGGAAAAGCAGTTGTGATAAATTTCCTCCTTAACGGCCTCAATATGTAAACCAAAATTATATTTTACACGTAATTAATTATTAATTAATGGCTATATTAAGCAAATATTTTCTTGCAACACCCCAACCCGTAACCTCACCAGTGCGTTCCTTTCGAATTTTGATCCGTTTCGTCTTTTCGTATAATTGTCTCCGTCACAATCCTTCACGAACCAGTATTCACATAATTGTCTTCTTCTTCTTCTTCTTCTTCTTTGGTGAGTCTGGAATCCCAACCTGATCTGGATTTGGAGGGTTAATGGACGTCGAGAGGATGAAGCAATTGATGTTCTTGTGGTGTAGAAAGCAAAGTGCAAGAGTCGCACTCGTGGGTGGGAACCACACAGCCTCTGGATTTTGCACTCGATAAAAAGGTTCGATAAATTTTGAGGAATCGTAGGCTTAGTTTCTTTTTCCTTCGTTTGTGGCAATTTCTTTCGATTTCTGCATCTGGGCTGTCCCTTTTGCTGCGAATTGACCCTATCTTGAACTTCTTGTACATCCATACTCGCAATTTTTTTAAAAGGGTTTTGTTCGGTGGGTTAGGAGTTAATCGTCGCATGAAGGAAATGGAGATGGTTTATGGGTATAATAAACCCAAGAATGGGAGTAAGATCAAGTGCTCTCGTGTTGGACCAAGAATTCCTTTGAATTCTGATACTGTGTTAGTGGTAAAGATTCCTGATGTACAGATCTTGCGCATTATGTCTCGTTCACTGTTTTTGGCTATGGCTCTTGTCACGTTGCCTTTCTTGGGTTCCGTTCTCAAGGGATTGTCTTCTTCTCCATCAGATTTTTCGCATTCATCAGTCTATCCTAAGTTTGATACTGAGCCTCCTTCGATCAATGGTGTGCTACTGAACTTCCTCCTTAATGATTTGGCTGATGAAGGCCTTCTCAGAAAGGACGATAAGGCTCTTGTTATAACCCCTCCAAATGGATTTGTTGATGTTATTCCATTCAACAATGAAGTTGAAGTGGTTTTGGACTCTGATTTGGAGAGAAAAATCTCAATCCCAAATGAGTCATATGATTTTGTGTTCATTTCTGCCTCTGAAGATGCTGAATTCGTCGATCGCATTCTGAAATCTGATGGCATTGTGGCTCTTCCATTAGGCACTAACCCGTCAAATGCTTTCAAAGAGAAACCAAATTACAGAGTTGTGTATCTCCGTACCTACAGTTCTATCATAGTTGTATTGAAGAAAACTGGCCCTGAACCTTCATCAAAGAGAAAGCTTTGCCAATTGGAAACAGTTTCCAAGAAGGTGGTTCTAAATGGTCTTGAAGATGTCTTTCTTGAGCCGCCAAAAAAATCTCTAGTGAAATCCAACAAGTACTTGAAGAAAATCAAGTACCTACCCAACTTGATGGGTAATTCTCTTGACGGCTACAAGCGAAGAGTCTTCATCGGTGTAGGTCTGCCTCAAGAAAACAAAGTCACAATTGAATGGTTCAAAAAGAACTACCCAAAGAGTCAGCATTTCGAGATTCACAGTCTGGAAATCAAACCAAAAGACCAGTCTGTTTCCCAAACTGATGTTTCTGCTTGGTTAACTAAGAATGTGGAGGAGGAAAACTTTGTGGTGATGAAGGCAGAAGCAGAGGTAGTGGAGGAGATGATAAAAAAGAGAACAATTTGCATAGCGGATGAGTTGTTTCTAGAGTGTAAGAATGAGTGGTGGAAGTCTGGGAGGAGGAAGAATAATCACAGAGCATATTGGGAGTGCTTAGCTTTGTACGGAAGACTGAGAGATGAAGGAGTTGCAGTCCATCAATGGTGGGGTTGACAGACTAATCCAAAGACTCAGATACCATATCAGAAGCACAGAACATAACATGATGCAACATGAGTATGTGACCAAATTGTCATATTTATGTATGAACGGGGCTTGATTAGTATTAACCTGCAGAATGGGGTGTTTCTCTGATATGAATTTTGCAATATTTACATGGGGGGTTTGTTGGTTATTGTTCTGTGTTTGTTTATGTTTCTGGGGTTTGAATTTGAAGTTGTGGGTGGGGGATAATTAGGAGTGTAATGTGGATGTAGTTGACCTTGTTCTATTGTCTGTGTTATGTAATGGCGCAAAAAATGATGTGACAAGTCTTATAAATAAATAAAAAGGATCCTTTTTTTTTTTTTTTTGGCCCCTCTTCTTTCTTTATAGTTCTTGCTTTCTTTTTGATGATGATATTTCCATGCTGATCCAGCGAAAGGTGCTTCGGTCACATCAACTGAAGCGGTGGACATGAAAAAGTAGAAGAGAAACCAATAATAGTGTTGGTTTTTTTTTTGTTGGATTACAATAAGGACAAGTCTTATATATTTTGGTTTGTCATTTTTGTATGTTATCAAGATATGATGTGATATTTTTAAAAGAATTAATTAATGATGTGAAGCTCAATAGTAAAAATACTTTAAAGAGAATTGCAAATAAAAATATTTTCCTTCTTAGTATCCAGGGATAGAATTCCTCACTATATACAAATATAAACACACACACATAACATTAACATATAAGGAATTTGAGAACAAATAAATGAAAAACTCTGCCTAGAATCGAGTACTAGAGATTTGGAGGACAAATGAACTCTGCCACTTGGAAGATTAGGGCCCTTGGATGCTGGTAGTTCAGAAAATGGGAAGAGTGAATCTTGCTCCACCGACGATTTGACTTCCCCTTGTTCAGCGTTTCCGGGCTTCAACACTAAATTATGGTCCCCGTGACAGTGTTTAAAATATTACCTCCGGTCTTTAATATAAGACTCTGTTTGATTTTTATTTTAGTTATAAATATAATATCCCAATTCGCTTTATCTCTCATATTTATTCAATTTTTTTCAAAATAGTCCTTCTAATAATTATAGTTCTAGTCAATACACTTGATTAGCAAGGATATTTTAGGAAAGACAACACCTATTTAGGACAAATAACTAACTCAACTTACTTCCTTAATCTCCTCAAATTAGTCAACTGTCTCTTATAATTAAGACCGGAGGTAGTAAAATATATTTTTGACGGAACTTGCATTTTCCCTATATCTTATTCTCCAGGTATATCAGTATTGTAATCTTATTTTTAGTACATTATCTACAAATGAGGGTGATGGATCCAACTAAAAAAAATAATATTAAGATACTGAAAATATGAAAAAAAATAAAATAAAGATTAAGGTGTTGGATCCATCACGAAAAAAAGATTAGCGTATTAAAAGATTTTAGTATTAATTAAGGACTAATGTCTTTGATAGTATTTTTTTCCACCCTAACATGTTTAATCATGGACGTGCAAATTAGTTTTCACAAATAATTCTCAACTTTCCAAGCTAACGACGACGTTTTATTTGTCACCTGCGTTAAACACATGGTAAGTTCGTGTTCGTCACACTTCCTAAAGCTGAAGATCCAGTCCCAGTGCTGAAAACACGACAGCGGAAACTCCAGATCTCACAGAAGAAATCTGTTCAAGGACTAAAGGTGACATCTTTCAACAATCCTCCCCACATTGTTATTCACTGTCATTCTTTCGGTTCCTGATCTTTGTAGTCTGTTTCCACAAAGAATTTTGGGCATTTTGTTTCCATAAAGAATTTTGGGCATTTTGCCAAACAATTTCTAGGGTTTTAATTATGATTGCTTTCGGGAGTAGATCAAATTCGTTATTGCTGATAAATTCTGAGGAACATTGATGCATCTGAAAAATCTGTAACTTTCTTGTTCAGTTTCTCACCCTTTTTAATGCTCTGCTTGCATTGGGATCAATAATTGTGTGATGTGAAGTATTGCTACAGAACTGCCTTGTTGTTTGGATTCATGGTTATATTTTATCTGTTATGACTTGCGCGGCCTACTAATTTACTCTCACTAGAAAGCAACCGATGAGTATTAAATACGGTTAACTGATGTAGTGTAACCTGAATGGAAGTGGAGATTCATGAACTTATTATTGAGAAATCTAGTTGTAAGTTTTTTTTTTTTGGTGGGTGTGTGTGTGTGTGTTTTTTTTTTTTTTGGGGGGGGGATATAATATTTGTATTAATAATGCTAAATTCTTGGGTCATTTTAGATGATTTGTGGGTTTCCAGCAGCCTTGGGTGAGTAGGGTTCTGCTAATGTTCACTTTGCACTTCATATTTATTATTTTTTTCCTACCCCTTTCTCTGGATTTTCCTTTCTTTGTTTTTCCCACCCAAATGTCGCTTACCCCCTGCCCTACTACTCTGTTTTTGCATCTTACATTCATCAGTGTAAATATAAAATCTGTAGAGTGTTGCGCTATGCAAAAGTTTATGGTTCTTCTCTGGTTCCTGGCAACTTTATTATTTATTTTTTAAAAATATTTGTCATATTTTAATAGGATTTCAATGCTAGAAAGATTAATATAATATTTGAGTAACTTTTATGTTATTATTCCTCCTGTATATTGCTTGAGAAAATGATATCTAGTTATTTATTAGTCTTTGTGAAGCCATAATTTTGGATTAACCTTGTACTGGCTATTTGTTACAATATCTTTAACATGTCCATTCAAAGCGAAATACTCTCTTTCCTTTTAGACCTTGATGTTTGATGTGTACTTTCTTGACTCGGGTATCCTGTTTGTTTTGGGCAATTTTTTATGTAGCAAGAATTGAAAATCACGCCATGATACGTGAAAATGTAATATTATTTGTATTTATCATGCTACTGATTCTGGTGATTAATTCTTTCTGATTAAATTATTTGTATCTCCTCCAGGAAGTAAGAGATGATTGATGATCAAGCCTTGGGATTTATTGCCAACTACATTGGCATTTTCATTTTTGCATTGGTTATAGCATATCATTTGGTTACAGCTGACCCAAAATATGAAGGCAGCTAGATACCTTGAATTTTGTGATGTAATAAGAGAGATGGTTGGAGTTTGTAGACTGATATATTAGATCAGTTTATATAAACTTAATATTGAAGAATAAATTTTGAATTTTTATATCTTAGGCCTTCTATATCTATGTATGTTTTCCTTTCCTTGTTTCTACAGATCTTGAGCATCATTCCATCACTATATGCCAATTTTGGTTATGGGAAAATTTGATTGCCCTGCACAAAATGCTCTGCACTGTGAAGTCAGTTATAATAACTATGAAATTGAAGTATCCATTTCCCTGCATGATATGCTCTGTTCTGTCTCTAGTGGAATTGCACGGTTCTCCTGTTGCGTCTGTGTATATTCTGCCTTTATTGCCACTTGCCAGAATTGCAATAAGCTCGGCTCGTTACACTCTGGATTCTGACTTTTTATAACAAATAAGCCATCCGGAGCACGAGCTGCAAGCTGAAGTTGGGTATCTATTTTGAAAAAGACTGATATACTAGAAGGGTAGAAGCGTGAACATAACATTTTTCTCTAAATTGAAAAAGTAATAGCAGGACATTAAACCAGGCTTTATAGCAAAGAAGTGTGCAATAAACTGCTGATGTGTGGGGTGTCTGTCCACAATGTAAATGCTTGAATTGTTGGCAAGTTGCGGCCTATAATTGCAGTGTTAAGCTTAGGTATGTTCAAGTTCTGTTATTGTTAATAATGTGTATGCCTGTCCACACTATAGAGTGTTCTCTGCATCTCAGCATGAAAACCACAGGAAAAACGAAAACAAAAAATGAATGGCCATCTTGCATTTGTGATGCTCAGCTTGAGCACCAGTCAAGCTGGATTTTGCATACGGCAATAAGTTTAAGCTTCCTTTCTTTTCTTTTCTTTCTTTTTTTTTTTTTTCTCGCATCGGGATCCAAGTCCTGGCTGCGAAAATGCAGAGCTATCTGTGATTTTAGACTGGGTCATGCTTCTGTATGTCTATCTATGTATTATATATGCAAGCCTTCATAGAATGTGTTCGTCCTGGCCATAAGATTATTTCTGTATAAAATTATAGGCAAATACTCTCAGCTATTCCTTTCAATCCCTTTTAGAGATTTGAGAATTAGAGTATGTGATTATATCTTCTAGACCTGGCACTTTATAAGACTGGTACTTCACACGCGCATGAAATCTACTAAATATATAAATATATCATCAGTAATATTTCTTCTCATGCTCATACAATGTTCACGAGAAACGGAAAACAGATTGGACACAACCAGGTTCTGCAAGATCAACTCCAAGAGCTGCACCAGAAAGAGAGAAAGAAAAGCAAACAGAGAAGTAGACATGAAGAGCAAGCTTGTACGAGAGCCTTTATTTTGCTACCCATTAGCATGCATGCAAGCTAGAGAATGCCATGGAAAGTCCACAGAGGAACGCAGAGTTACCAAATTAACCTCAGGGGGTAGTAGTGGTTGAGGCAGGTCGGGAGGAGGAAGGAACATTGGGAACAAAGGGTGTGTTGGGAAGCGTGAAAATTGGCGGCGGCAATCTGTACTCGGGCCACTCAGTGATTGGTGGAAAAGGAGGAAAATTTAGGGGGGTGTTACCAAAGCCAGGAATTGATGGAGCCAGAAGTTTTCTGTTGCCAATGGCTTCCACTCTGCAGATGCTGCAGAAAGACACAGCAACGAAGAGAGCTATGATAAGCAAACGAGTAGAAGAAGAAGAAGCAGCCATTTTGGGTATGGGAAACGGGAAGAAAGTTAAGCCAAATGGAAAGTCTGAGGATTGGGTATGGTGGTGAGGCAAGAACCCTGCCCTTTGGTTTTATAGGCTAACATAGGAGAGGTTTGCCAAGAAAAATTTGCATTATTAATGATATGTCGTCTAAATTAATTGTAAAGACAGCACTTAATGCATATTGAATAATGAAAACTTTTAGATATGCCTGATTCAAAGAATATGATGAAGATGATAATGATGATGATAAATTGAGTCAATTATAAATAATCATCCAAGAATGTCAAAATATCTTGTATGCTTATGTTATATGTCTACTTCACAATTGATTTGATCTATTAATATTTGCAATTTGGGTGTCCTCAAGAACTTATCTATCAAGTTCACTTTTTGGTAAAAGTAGATTCGATGCATTTTTATATCTTTCTAGAATTAATTGAATCTAATACAATTGTCACCAAATATCTTAAAAATTATCTTTCTTTCTTTTTCAATAATTACAAAACTCTCTCTATGCATCAAGTAAAACATGAAAAAAAAAAAAATAAACTGGAGGGTTTATGACTTACCTTTTCCCGGGAAATGCCTCACAAAAGAATGATGGAACTTTTACTTCATCAATAAAGGTGCCGCTCAGCAGCACAAGTTATAAATGGCGTCAAATGCAGTTGAGAGTATCGGTGGGTACGTAGTGTTATTATTCTTATTCACTGCCAAATAGTTACATCGTCAGAAACAGTTGGAAAACTGACCCACTTTCATGCTCATTCACTTAATATGGTCCTTGGCTTTCTAATCTTTCTAGTTAGACCTCTGTTTCTGGATTGTCCCCACGTAGGTTGCTTACTTGCCTCCAAACACTTGAAGGGTCTAGAAAGAGAAAATATCAGCTCAAAATTGGGGTAGCCTGAAAATAATTTTCCTTTCAATCTTGAAAACTTTACAGTAAATTATTCTACTTATTTTGTAATCCTTTAAATATTAAATTTAGTTAACTAATTTATGAAAATTAAAAAAAATAGTCAAGTTGTTTATTTATCAATGTTATGTATAAAATATGTGTTTTTTTTTAAAATACCTCTCTTTAAATAAAATAACAGACAAATTAAGGGCGTAAAATTTATTTTGAAAGAATAAAATATTAGGGGATTTATTATAAATTTATAAAGTCGTGGAAGTTATTTACATATAAAACAAAACTTCATGGAAGTTATGTATAATTTACCCTTCTATTTTAGTTTCATGTTTTATCTAATTTTTGGTGAAATGTAAACTAATTATTTTAATTTAATTTTCTGGTGTGATATATAAATTGCTAATATGTTGGCACGTATATTATAAACTTTATCGTGGGGTATGCATGTAATAAATGGTTAGATAATGAAAATGAAATTTTTGGTATAACTATATATGCAAGCAAATGTAAAATAATTAAGTTGCTGGTCAGAAAAAAGATGCAAAATAATTAAGGCGAAGTAAGCGTCTTTGTCATGGTATAAACTACGAAACCAAATGAAGCAAGTACCCAATAAGGAAAGTGAGTATGTACCATTATCACCCTAAACAACTAACCCTAATTAAAATCTTCCACAACAAAATCAAGTGACCCCAGCAATTTCAGCATCTTCTCATAATTTAAATTAGTTTGGTCATTTTTATAAAATCTTGTTTAGGGTATTTGAACATTAAACATTACTCTATGGTTGACACCCCGCAAGTTGGAGCATGAATATTTTTCATGCCAATCTTGGATATTAACTCATGAAAAAATGTGGGATGTAATAGTTTGGTAAAAACATTTGCGAGCTGATCAATAGAGTGGACAAGGAGCAATTTGATTACTTTAGCCTATAGTTTATTTTGAACCAGGTGGCAATCCAGCTCTATGTGCTTGGTTCGTTCATGGAAAGTAGGATTTGCTGCTATCTAAATGGTAGACTGATTGTCATAATACAACAAGGTTGGCTCTATATGAGAAAGATGAAAATCAGTCAAGAGATAAAAAAGCCACTGTAATTCACAAGTAGTGGTAGCTAGAGCATGATATTCTGCTTTTGAGGAAGACAGAGATGCTATGGCTTGCTTTTTAGCTTTTCACGAGATTAATGAAGAGCCAAGAAACACTGCAAACCCAGTGACTGATCTCCCTAAATTGATATAGCTAGCCCAGTCTGAGTCACTGAAACTTTGAAACTTCAAACTAGAATGGAAGAGAAGAAGATACCAACTCCTAGAGGTGATTTGATGTAACGAAGAAGTCGATGTCGTGCTTGAAGATGAATATCTCTTGGGGCCAACATAAGTTGGGTTGCAAAGCTAAGATCAAGCCGTGTGGTGGTCAAATATTGTAGTCTCCTAACTAATTTCCTGTAAACTTAGGGATCGTCTAGTATTTGGCCTTTGTTTTGAAAGTTTAAGGTGGGAATCCATTGGACAAGATGCTGGCTTACATGCTAGATAACCACTGTCTTTGAGTTTTTCTAAGGCAAATTTTCTTTGGCTTAAGAAGATAGCATCCTTGGTCCTAGCAAGCTCCAAACCAAGTAATTAGCAAGGATAACCCAAATCCTTAATGGTGAAAGCATCATCTAACTACTGCTTTACAAAATTAGTCTCTACCAAATTATTACCAATAAGAACCACATCATCTACATATACCAAAACAATAGTGAATGATTCAGAGGAAGCTTTAAAGAATAAAGAGTTATTAGAGGCCAATTGAGAGTACCTATATGAGATCAGAGCAAAGGACAACTTGGAATACCACTGCCGACTAGCATATGTGAGATCATAAAGTGACTTCTACAACTTACACACTAGGTTTGGTTGAGTTGAGGTAAATCCTTTAGGAAGATCCATATAGACCTCCTTATACAAATCCCCATGAAGGAAGGCATTATTCACATCTAGTCATGTAAAAACCAGTGTTTAGTAGCAACAATAGATAGTAATAAATGTAATGTAGTCAGCTTAGCAACTAGGAAAAAAGCATCAAAATAGTCAATGCCTTCAGTTTGAGTATAGCCTTTGGCAACTAACGTAGCCTTATACCTCTATTTCTCTATTGGCTTTAAACTTGGTCTTATAAACCCATTTGCATCCAATAGTTTTTTTACCAGGTAGGGATTGAGTTAAAACATAGGTTTGGTTTTGCTCAATGGCTTTAATTTTCGCATTCATAGCATCCCTTCAGCGTAAATGTTTAATAGCTTTATGAATAAGTTTTTGGATCAGGGACAGAAGAAACAAGCAATACAAAATTTTTATTGGAGGGAGGAAAAGAAGAATAAGTTAGAACCAAAGAAAGAGCATAGCTAAGATTACCTTTGCTAGATAATTGATTAGTGGCAAAAATTAGAGTATAATGATAATCTTGCAGATATGATGG